TAACGATGGAGATGATGATGATGATGACGATGACGATCATATTGATAACGATGGAGATGATGATGACGATGATGACGATGACGATCATATTGATAACGATGGAGATGATGATGACGACGACGATCATATTGATAACGATGGAGATGATGATGACGACGACGATCATATTGATAACGATGGAGATGACGATGACGACGACGATCATATTGATAACGATGGAGATGGAGATGATGATGACGACGATGACAAGATGATGACGATGACGGTGTCGGGATGCGGTAACCCGCTCGCCCCCCCCCCCCCGCCCTCGGCCACGTCCCTGGCCGCCCACTGACTCCCCCCCCCCCCCCCCCCTCCCGCTCCCTTCCCCTGGGGGCCCGCCCCACTCCCCGGCCCGGCACAACACGTTGTGCCGCTCTGGCAGGAGAACCGCAAGCGTGCCAAGCAGGAGCTCACCGCCATGGAGGCGGAGATGGTCGAGGCGCAGGAGGAGCTGAAGGTCCGTCAGCAGGAGACGGGGCGCCGTGCCGTCCCGGCCTCCCCCAGGGCTCTCATCTGCACGCCGGGCCGGCGGCAGCCGGGGACGCCGGCCGGGGGCTCGACGCCGAGGCGCACGCCGGCACGCTTCGGGCTGTGAGCGGAGGGGGGGGGAGGGGGGAGGGGGAGGTGGTGGTGGTGCCGGCCCTAACACCCCTACCCCTAACCCTACCCCTACCCTCTCTCTCTCTGTCTCTCTACCGCGCTGCCGGAGTCTCCGCTCTCCGTGTCTGTCCACCGCCGCCGCTGCCGTCGCCGCCATCATCACCGCCGCCATCATCACCGCCGCCACAACCACCACCGCCACCATCACCGCCTACATCATCATCACCGCCGCCACCATCGCCACCGCCATCATCATCAACACCATCGCCGCCATCACCGCCACCACCGGCGCCACTGCCATCATCACCACCGCCACCACCGCCGCCATCACCACCGCCGCCATCATCACCATCACCACCATCACCACTATCGGCACCATCGCCACGACCGCCACGACCATCACGACCACCACCATCGCCACCACCATCGCCACCACCATCGCCACCACCATCACCACCACCATCGCCACCACCATCGCCACCACCATCGCCACCACCATCACCACCATCACCACCACCACCATCACTTGGCCAGCCTGCGCCCGATGGCCACGCTCCCCCGGCCTTGCCCTGTCGCTCCCACCCAGCGCACAATCACCGTCGTGGTGGCGGTGGTGGTGGTCACCGCGGTGGTGATGGTGGTGGTCACCGTGGTGGCGGTGGCGGTCACCGTGGTGGTGGTGGTGGTGGTGGTCACCGTGGTGGTGGTCACGGCGGTGACGATGATGGTCGTGGTGGTGATGACGGTGGTTGTGGTCACGGTGGTGGTCACGGTGGTGGTCACGGTGGTGGTCACGGCGGTGACGATGATGATGGTGGTGGTGATGATGATGGTGGCTGCGGCAACGATGGCGATGCGAATTTTTTTTCCAAATAAAGGTATCTTTGCTGGTAACCGATCGAGTGAGGTGGAGGAGGTGGAGGAGGTGGAGGAGGAGGAGGAGGAGGTGGAGGAGGACAGTCACACCACACCACATACTCACACCACACACACCACACTCACACCCACACACACCACACCCACACCACACCCACACACTCACCACGCCACACACTCACCACGCCACACACTCACCACGCCACACACATCACACCACACTCATACCACACTCACACCACACACTCACACCACACCCACACCACACCCACACACACCACACCACACACTCACACTACACCCACACCACACCCTCACATCACACTCACACCCTCACACCACACACACCACAGACTCACACCACACCCACACCACACACTCACCACGCCACACACACCACACACTCACACCACACACTCACACCCACACACCACACACACACCCACACACTCACACCACACACACACCACACACTCACACCACACCCACACACTCACACCACACACACCACCCCCACTCCACACACACACACCACACCCACACCACACACTCACACCACACAAACCACACACTCACACCACACCCACACCCACACACTCACACCCACACACTCACCACGCCACACACACTCACACCACACACACCACACACTCACACCCACACTCACACCACACACACACCCACACACTCACACCACACACACCACACACACACCCACACACACCACACCCACAACACACACTCACACCACACAAACCACACACTCACACCACATCCACTCACCACACTCACACTACACTCACACTCTCACGCCACACACACCACACACTCACACCACACCCACACACTCACACCACACCCACACACTCACACCCACACACTCACCACGCCACACACACCACACACTCACACCACACACACCACACACTCACACTCACACCACACACACACTCACACCACACCCACACCACACACTCATACACTCACTCACACAGTGGCCCGCGATCACAGATCTCTATTTAACTCCATCAAAAAAGTAACCTGCAGCGCCACACCTATTACCATCATTAGGGGAAAGATCGGTGATCCAATCTCTGACCCCCAGAAACAGGTTTGCAGATTTGCTGAACATTTCTGTGAGGTCCTTGGGGAGTAGAAATCCCTCAGCCTGGAAAAACATGGGACAAAGTGGGGATGACCCTGCTGAGGCTGCGATGCCTCAAATATTGGAGAAGGAAGTCACCCCCTGTGAGTGGCTGGCTGAGGTGCCATCTGTTGAGGAAGTACTGAAGGCGACCCAGAGTCTGAGACGAGGAAAGGCACCGGGCAGAGATGATCTCCCAAGCGAAATGCTGAGGGAGGGTGGCGTTTGTGCACAGACTGCCATATATGACATCATAACAACAGTCTGGACCACTGGACGGGTTCCGCAGGATTGGAAGGATGCCCTGGTGGTCCCCCTTTTTAAGAAGGGGGACCGCACAGACTGTAACAACTACAGGGGCATCTCACTCCTCAGTGTGCCGGGAAAGGTCCTGGCAAGGATTATTCAGCATCGCCTTGCCAGGCACGCTGAGAGGCTTGCGGAGCCCCAATGCGGTTTCAGGAAAGGGCGGTCCTGCACAGATGCCATATTTTCTGTCCGTCTGCTACAGCAAAGGTGTAGGGAATTCCAACAAGACCTACATCTCTGCTTTATTGACCTGGTCAAGGCCTATGATACCATCAGTAGGCCTGGCCTCTGGGTTGTTCTTCGTTGCTTTGGAGTCCCTGACCCGCTGCTCACGATCATTAAGGACCTTAATGATGGTGAGCAGGCCCGGGTAAAACTACGTGGCTGGGAGTCGGAGCCATTCCCTGTACACCTTGGGGGTGCGACAGGGATGTCCTCTGGCTCCCACATTATTTAACATCTATTTTGACCATGTAGTTTGTGAAGCCTTCAATAGCTGTACCGGAGGAATTTCCGTTTGGTACAGATATAATGGGAGGCTGATCGATGCCCGGGTGAGGTCAAGGGATGGCTCCCTATTGTTCAACCAGGTTATGTATGCTGATGATCTGGTAATTGCTGCTAACTCAGAGGAAGAGTTGGAGGTGCTGCTGCTGAACCTGGAGCTTGCCACTAAGAGGTGGGGCCTTACCATCAGCCCCACCAAAACTAAGCACCTGCCTGGGTATTTTGTACCATCGGACACTCCACCCCCACAACTCCCAATCGGTGATAGGGCAGTTGTGGAGAGAGTGGAGAGTTCCCCATACCTGGGCAGTGTACTCATGACCGGCTCCAGTTTAGCAGCAGAGGTCTCACTCCGAATCAGTCGAGCGGCATTATCTTTTCATCGGTTGCATAGCGCTGTGTGGAAACTACCTGGTCTATCACTCCGCACGAAGTTTCAGGTCTTCTCGGCCACGGTCATTTAGGTTGGCTTGCCAACGTTCCATCCTGGATTTAGCCAGGCTGGATTTTGAGGAGCTCACAAATCCTTGAAAGATGTGGACAAAGTCCCATCGGTGAGCTCCTCCAGCAGGCAAGGCTGCGTTTGGCTGGGTCATGTAGCCCGCATGCCCAGCCACCGTATACCTAAACAACTTTTGTTTGGCCGGATTGAGGGGGCTAAACGGGCGCGGCACGGGCTAGAGAAGAGATGGAGTGATGTGGTACACGAGGACGTGGAGCTGAGTGGACTTGCCGATGACTGGTACCAGCGGTGTCAAGATCGGCCTCTGTGGAGGAGGCTCGTGAAGGATGCTACACCTAGCCTGGCACAGCAGTCAACCCATGGCACCTGCTGAGGCTGTCCCGTGACCTGCACCTAGCCTGGCACAGCAGTCAACCCATGGCACCTGCTGGATCTGTCCCGTGACTTCATCCTCCTGCACCTAGCCTGGCACAGCAGTCAACCCATGGCACCTGCTGGGTCTGTCCCGCGACCTCCTCCTGCACCTAGCCTGGCACGGCAGTCAACCCATGGCACCTGCTGGGACCTCCGTGATGACGTCACAGCGACACCTGTCACACGCGCGCCGACGACGATATGATGGCTACAGTTTTCGCGGTTTGACGTCACACCGCGTTTTTCTCACATGGCGTGCGTTTTGACGTAACCACGACCCCCCTCTTCTACCTCCCCCGGGCGTGACGCAATTGTGTTGTTGCCTCGTGACGTCACGAAGTTGCGGGGTGGGGGGGTGGACTCATTTGCAGGTAAACTCCTAACGTCATCGTCCCCTCCCAACGCGGCGCGATGACGTCTTGTCGTCACGCCATTTGCCGATTGCGTCACGCGGGTTCCCCCCCTCCGGCGGCGTAATGACGTCGGATCAAAACCCTGTTTGCCGTCCAGCGCGCTCGTCTCCTCCCGCGATTCAATGACGTCATGTCACCCACCCGTTTGCCGATGACGACACGCGGGCTCCTGCCTGCCTGCCCAACTCAACCCCATCCCGTGTGGTTCGTGATCCCCCGGCTGAGGGCGATCGGGAACTTTGTTTTTATTTTCTTTTGGGGGGGTTGGCCGACGTTTCGGCCATGGCCAGGGACAGCTCGCACAAGATGAAGCTCTCCAAGAACCTGCTGCGCATGAAGGTTTGGGCAATGCGCGCGGAGAGAGGGACGCCACGCGCTCCACGTTGCGGCCTAGCTCGCGCCTCACGCTCCCCCCAGCCTTGCCTGGATAGCCCTACCGAGGAGGGTGCGATTCATGCGGCACGGTGGTGGAGGAGTGGGGTGAGGGGTGGGTCTCGGGGGTTTTTTTTAGTGTGCGTGTGTGCGCGCTTGCTGTGCGTGCGTGAAATGCCGGGCCTCCCCTTAGGTCGACTCAGCCTCAAATGCGTTAGCTGCTGCTGCGGCAGCGGTTGTGTGGTGGTGGTGGTGGTGTTAAACGGGGAAGACAAAGGCGGCCGGGCGTGGTGGTTGCTGTTCCACCCTCGTGCCGCTGCTCGCTAAGAACACTTGCCCCAGCAGTCTGTTACAGGCTACACGGGGGAACTTTGTCTGTGTGTGTGAGTGTGTTAAAAGATTCCCCCGTGTAGCCTTAACAGACTTGTAGGGGCAAGTGCTGTTAGCGAGCAGCACCTATTAAAGCCGGTAACGGTACACGAGGGGGTGGGTGGCCAGCACCACGCCCGACCGCCTTTGTCTCCCCAGTGGCGATGTTTACTGCAACACCGCACCAAGTACTCATTTGAGGCTGAGTCGACCTAGGGGAGGCCCGGGACCGGTTCAGATAATCGTCACTGGTGTTGGCCGTGAGCGGGAATCGAACCCGGGTCGCCAGGTTCATAGCGCAGCGTAGCGCTAACCGCTACACCATCGTGAGTGTATGTGAGTGTGTATGTATGTGAGTGTATGTATGTATGCAGTGTGCTTATGACCGGCTCCAGTTTAACAGCAGAGGTCTCACTCCGAATCAGTCGAGCGGCAATATCTTTTCATCGGTTGCGTAACGCTGCTGTGTGGAAGCTACCTGGTCTGTCGCTCCGCACTAAGCTTCAGGTCTTCTCGGCCACGGTCATTCCCTCCCTTCTCTACGCTTGCGAAACGTGGACCCCCATAATGGAACATCTTCGCCGGTTAGAAGCATTTAGGCTAGCCTGCCTACGATCTATCCTGGGTTTAACCAGGCTGGATTGTGTGAGGAGCTCACAAATCCTTGAAAGATCTGGGCAAGGTCCCATCGGTGAGCTCCTCCGGCGGGCAAGGCTGCGATGGCTGGGTCATGTAGCCCGCATGCCCAGCCACCGCATGCCGAAACAGCTTTTGTTCGGCCGGATCGACGGGGCTAAACGGGCGCGGCACGGGCTAGAGAAGTGATGGAGTGATGTGGTACAGGAGGACGTGGAGCTGAGTAGACTTGCCGATGACTGGTACCAGTGGTGTCAAGATCGGCCTCTGTGGAGGAGGCTCGTGAAGGATGCTACTGGGCAGTTGGAGGTAGTCGCCCTCCAACAACAACGGAGGGCGGAGGAGCGACGCTCAGAACAACGAGCGTAGCGCCGGGTGGCTAAAGCACAGCAGGTTGGCACAGTAGGGGGCACAGGTGGTGCACCAGCCAGTCATCTCAGTCAGTCGACCCGTGGCACTTGGGTGTGCCCCGTGACCTCCTGTATGTGAGTGTATATATGTGAGCGTATGTATGTATTTGAGTGTATGTATGTATGTGAGTATATATGCGTGTGAGTGTGTGCGAATGTGTGCGTGTGTGTGAGCGTGCGAGTGTGTGTGTGTGGTGCTGGCCACCCACCCCCTCGTGTGCCACAGTGCCTGTAGCCGTCATAGGTGCTGCTCGCTAACAGCACTTGCCCCTACAGTCTATCAAGGCTACACGGGGGATCTTTATCTGTGTGGTGTGTGGACAGTGGTGGTGCATCTGCCAGCCATCTCAGTAAACCAATGGCACCTGCTGGGTCTGTCCCGTGACCTCCTCCTGCACATAGCCTGGCACAGCAGTCAACCCATGGCACCTGCTGAAGCTGTCCAGTGACCTCCTGCACCTAGCCTGGCACAGCAGTCAGCCCATGGCACCTGCTGGGTCTGTCCCGTGACCTCCACCTGCACCTAGCCTGGCACAGCAGTCTCCGAATATACAGGAGGTGTCGAGATTTAACCCACGACCTCCTGAATACCAGGCGAGGTAGCTAACATCTCCTAGCAACCGTGGTGTTGATGAGAGAGAGAGAGAGAGACGCACACACAGACTCCAAATATACAGCAAAAGGTGTCGTCAGGGTTGGTGTCGAACCCACGACCTCCTGCGTACCCCGCGAGGGAGTTAACATCTAGCACCAAACGCACTTGCCCCAAACACCCTGCTGAAGGCTATACTAGAGGGGGTGGGGGGTTGACCCCCCTTTGTCTTTGTCTCAGTTCATGCAACGAGGTCTGGACGAGGAGGAGAGGAAGAGGTTGGATGAGGAGGAGCAGAGGCTGATGACGGACGAGCACTGGTACTTGGACCTACCGGACCTGCAGAGAGCCGAGTGAGACGCCATCATCGACATCACCGCCACCACCATCGTCGGCATCATCGTCGCCATCATCATCATCATCATCGTCGGCATCATCACCAGCATCATCGCCAACATCACCGTCGCCATCATCATCATTATCACTAGCATAATCGCCACAATCATCATCGCCAACATCACCATCGCCACCATCATCATCACCATCATCAGCATCATCGCCGTCATTGCCAACATTATCGCCAGCATCACCAACAACATCACCATCACCAGCATCATCAACAACGCCATCATCATCACTAACATCGTCAACATCAGCATCATTGCCAGCGTCATTACCATATTCACAAACATCATTATCACCAGCATCATCATCGCCTAACTTCATCAGCACCACTTACATTATCGCCAACATCACCAGCATCATCGCGAACATCATCAGCATCGTCAGCATCGTCGCCAGCATCGTCATCGCCATCACCAACATCATTATCATCATCATCGCCATCATCATCAGCATCATCACCGTCATCGCCAACATCATCACCAACATCATCATCGCCAGCATTATAGCCAACATCATCATCATCGCCGTCATCGCCATCATCATCATCATCGCCAGCATCTTCAGCATCAACATCATCACCATCATCAGCATCACCAGCATCATCAGCATCATCGCCACCATCATCAACATCGCCAACATCGCCAACATCATCACCAACATCAACATCACCATCGCAGCATCATTTCCATCATCAACATCACCAGCATCATCATCGCCAACATCATCATCGCCATCATCAACATCGCCAACATCATCATCAACATCACCAACATCATCGCCAAGATCATCATCAACATCACCATCGCCAGCATCATTACCATCATCACCATCATCATCGCCAACATCACCAGCATCATCGCCAACATCATCATCATCATCAACATTACCATCATCACTAGCATCATTACCATCAATGCCATTGCCACAACCATCAATGCAACTCTTTGGGTGTCTGTGTGAGTCTATGGGTGTCTGAGTCTGTGGGTGTCTATGTGAGTCTATGGGTGTCAATGTGAGTCTATGGGTGTCTCGAGTCTATGGGTTTCTATGTGAGTCTGTGGGAATCTATGTAAGATTGTTTAGGCTCTGAGCGAGTCGATGGGTTTCTGTAAGTTTGTGGGTTTCTATGTGAGTCTATGGGTCTCAGTGTTATTCTTGAGGTGTCTATAGGTGTCTGTGTGAATCTATGGGTGTCTGTGTGAGTCTATGGGTGTCTGAGTCTATGGGTGTCTATGTGAGTATGTGGGAATCGATGTATGATTGTTTAGGCTCTGGGCGAGTCGATGGGTTTCTGTAAGTTTGTGGGCGTCTATGTGAATCTATGGGTCTCAGTGTAATTCTTTAGGTGTCTATAGGTGTCTGTGTGAATCTATGGGTGTCTGTGTGAGTCTATGGGTGTCTTGAGTCTGTGGGTATCTACGTGAGTCTATGGGTGTCTGTGTGAGTCTATGGGTGTGTGAGTCTATGGGTTGTTGTGTGAGTCTTCTGGGTGTCTATGTGAGTGTGGGTGTCTGTGAGTCTGTGGGTGTCTATGAGTCTATGGGGGTCTATGTGAGTCTATGGTTGTCTATGCCAGTCTGTGGGTGTCTGTGTGAGTCTGTGTGAGTCTATGGGTGTCTAAGTCTGTGGGTGTCTGTGTGAATCTATGGGTGTCTATGTGAGTCTGTGGGTGTCTATGTGAGTCTATGGGTGTCTATGTGAGTCTATGGGTCTCAGTGTAATTCTTTAGGTGTCTATAGGTGTCTGTGTGAATCTATGGGTGTCGATGTGAGTCTATGGGTGTCTGGGTCTGTGGGTGTCTATGTGAGTCTATGGGTGTCTGTGTGAGTCTATGTTTGTCTATGTGAGTCTATGGGTGTCTGAGTCTGTGGGTGTCTATGTGAGTCTATGGGTGTCTGTGTGAGTCTATGGGTCTCAGTATAATTATTTAGGTGTCTATAGGTGTCTGTGTGAATCTATGGGTGTCTATGTGAGTATATGGGTGTCTGTGAGTCTGTGGGTGTCTGAGTCTATGGGTTGCTGTGCGAGTCTTCTGGGTGTCTATGTGAGTCTGTGGGTGTCTGTGTGAGTCTATGGGTGTCTATGTGAGTCTATAGGTGTCTGTGAGTCTATGGGTCTCGATGCGAGTCTGTGGGTGTCTGTGTGAGTCTATGGGTGTCTAAGTCTGTGGGTGTCTGTGTGAGTCTATGGGTGTCTGAGTCTGTGGGTGTCTATGTGAGTCTATGGGTGTCTGTGTGAGTCTATGGTTGTCTATGTGAGTCTATGGGTGTCTGAGTCTGTGGGTGTCTATGTGAGTCTATGGGTGTCTGTGTGAGTCTATGGGTGTCTATGTGAGTCTGTGGGTGTCTATGTGAGTCTATGGGTGTCTATGTGAGTCTGTGGGAATCTATGTAAGATTGTTTAGGCTCTGGGCGAGTTGATGGGTTTCTGTAAGTTTGTGGGTTTCTATGTGAGTCTATGGGTCTCAGTGTAATTCTTTAGGTGTCTATAGGTGTCTGTGTGAATCTATGGGTGTCTATGTGAGTCTATAGGTGTCTGTGAGTCTGTGGGTGTCTATGAGTCTATGGGTTGCTGTACGAGTCTTCTGGGTGTCTATGTGAGTCTGTGGGTGTCTGTGTGAGTCTATGGGTGTCTATGTGAGTCTATAGGTGTCTGTGAGTCTATAGGTGTCTGTGAGCCTATGGGTCTCGATGCGAGTCTGTGGGTGTCTGTGTGAGTCTATGGGTGTCTAAGTCTGTGGGTGTCTGTGTGAGTCTATGGGTGTCTGAGTCTGTGGGTGTCTATGTGAGTCTATGGGTGTCTGTGTGAGTCTATGGTTGTCTATGTGAGTCTATGGGTGTCTGAGTCTGTGGGTGTCTATGTGAGTCTATGGGTGTCTGTGTGAGTCTATGGGTGTCTATGTGAGTCTGTGGGTGTCTATGTGAGTCTATGGGTGTCTATGTGAGTCTGTGGGAATCTATGTAAGATTGTTTAGGCTCTGGGCGAGTTGATGGGTTTCTGTAAGTTTGTGGGTTTCTATGTGAGTCTATGGGTCTCAGTGTAATTCTTTAGGTGTCTATAGGTGTCTGTGTGAATATATGGGTGTCGATGTGAGTCTATGGGTGTCTGAGTCTGTGGGTGTCTATGTGAGTCTACGGGTGTCTGTGTGAGTCTATGGGTGTCTGTGTGAGTCTATGGGTGTGTGAGTCTATGGGTGTCTATGTGAGTCTGTGGGTGTCTGTGAGTCTGTGGGTGTCTATGAGTCTATGGGTGTCTACGTGAGTCTATGGTTGTCTATGTGAATCTGTGGGTGTCTGTGTGAGTCTATGGGTGTCTGAGTCTGTGGGTGTCTTATGTGAGTCTATGGGTGTCTATGTGAGTCTGTGGGTGTCTATGAGTCTGTGGGTGTCTATGAGTCTAAAGTTGTCTGTAAGTCTTTGGGTCTCGATGCGAGTCTGTGGGTCTCTGTGTGAGTCTATGTGAGTCTGTGGGTGTCTGTGTCTACAGTTGTCGGTGAGTCTACGGGTGTCTATGTGAGTCTATGGGTGTCTGTGAGTCTTTGGATGTCTGTGGGTGTCTATGTGAGTCTATGGGTGCCGGACGGGCAACTCTGTCATGGACAGTGCTGTGGGGAGAGGGCCAATTCCGATTGGCTCCTCCCCTCATGGCGTCTGTGTCCACCACAGTGGCTAAACGGGGGCTCTGGACGGGTGCGAGGGGCTGGTATCCCCTCCACCTTCAATTAATTACTACTAAACTATGACTGAAATATGTAACTAATAAGCTTGTGCCAGAGGCCCTGGGGGAACAGGCGTCTATGACGTTTCCTGGCCAAACCCCAATTGGCGGAGCTAGGAGATTGAATCTCTACCCTCAGGGCTCCTCCAGAAACAACGAAAAGCCACTACGGATGGCCACGTGGAATGTTCGAACGCTCACTGCAGAGGAGAGGCTGCCACTCCTCTGTTGGGAGCTGGACCAGTACCGCCTGGATCTCTGTGGCATTCAGGAGGTCTGGTGGACCGGTTCTGGCTCCTGCCACCATGAGGGGTGAACAGTCCTCTACTCGGGGCAGGAGACTGCCAAACAATAGGGTGTGGCTCTTCTTTTGAACAAAGGAATGAAGGGGGCGTGGGAGCGTGGCGGTGAGGTGTGGGAAGCTGTAAGCCCCAGGCTACTTTGGGCTCGCCTTCTCATCAACCGGAGGCGAGGAGTGGTGGTTGTGGTTACTTATGCCCCCACCGAAGACGAACATCCGTGCAGGGATGCAGGCAAAGCCGATGAGTCAGATGCCTTCTATGACCTCCTGTCACAGGTGCTGGCTAAAGTGGCCCCTCGAGATAGAGTCACCTTGTTGGGTGACTTCAATGCCCGAGTTGCTCATGATGCTGGAGTGATTGGAGGGCATGGGCCAGATCAGCTCAATAACAACGGTAGGAGGCTGCTAGATTTTTGTGCAGCCCATGGGCTTGTAATTACCAACACGCTGTTCCGGCATCGGCGCATCCACACAACATCATGGATGCATGCCGGGTCCAAGCACGAATATCTGCTGGACTACATAGTGACGGACCAGCGGATGTGAGCCCATGTCCTTGACACCAGGACCTACCGTGGAGCTGATCTGCCCTCTGACCATCGACTAGTCATCTGTAAGATGCGCCTGCCATTCTTCCACTCCGGTGGTGGGTGTACACCCAGGACCCCATTCCAAACTAAAGTGGCCTGGTCTCAGTTATCTGATGAAAGTTGCAAGCGAGAATTTCATCATCACTTGCGGCTCGGGTTGGCATCGTCCCCGACTCCTCCTGATGTCGAGGGTAAATGGGCGAGGTTTAGGACTGTGACTCATGCAGCTGCAATGGCTGCTTTGGGTACGCGGTCCAGACCTCCCCAGAGACCCTGGCTGACAGAGGAGGTGTTGAGGATGGTTGAGAAAAAGCGACAGGCCCACTTATCGGCTACAGAA